GCATCTGCACCACTGCCTGACCTGTGTGCTAGTAACCTAACCAAGAAGGTAAAAGGAAATGGGAGTTTAACAACTTGTTCTTGGCAAATCCATGGGGGCTCCAGTGATCCCTGACGGCATTCCAGCCAGGGCAAGTTGTGACTTTGTTGCTATGACACTACTGGTCCAGGGGGCATGTTTTCACACTCTGCCTGCTTCTCCTAATGGGGGAAATACTGAGATGCTGGATGACTTGAAGTTCAACAGCTTGTGGCTCCATGTCAGCAACAATTTCAAACATGTAAACTATTAGTAAACTTGCAATCATGGGCTGAATATTTCTCAATTTAGTGTCCCTAACGTTAAAAAAGGGACTTAGCTCTATCAATGGGTATTAAGAAATAAGTGTTAAATATTCATTGTCTCCCAATCCCACTCCATCCCCCCGCTTCTTTGCATAAAGAAGTTTAGGAGTTTAGGAGACGGGGAAAGCCTCCTAAGGTAAGGTTTATATTGCACACAGATATGGTATTAACACCTACATGACAATAATAGCTATTTATTGAACATCCACGATGTGCCAGGCATTTGGCATACACCAATTCATTTAACCCTCAGAAGCTGTACTGTTATTATGGACATTATACAGATAAGCAAACTGCAGCTCATGGGGGTGAAGTAATTTGACCAGTCTCCCCATTAGTGATGAGAGAACAAGGATCTGAACCCAAGCGTACCCACCGTCTCCCTACTCATCAAGCCACACTGCCAATCAGTCCAAACTGACATTACCCAGAGCCTGACACCCTCCCTCCCTTCTCTCCCCAACCCCATCTCACATGCACCTGACCATCTTCTCCACATCCCAGGACACTGCCACTACCTCGGCTTTGCTCCAAGCTGCAGCACCCCTTCTCACATGTCCTCTGCCCTGTATTCACATCCTCTGTATTCAGACTTGCACTGAGCCCATCTCCTCTCCATCCATCCTTTCCCAGCAGCCTCAGCTAACAAGAGCTTTACCCTCCTCCTACTCCTGTTTTCCCCATCGGTTTGCACAGTTCTGACTTATGCTCCACTGTTCACATGCACACATATCCATCATGGGCCCAAACAGACCACAAGCAGAAAGCAGATCTAATATTTCTCCTCTGAACCTCCCACCATGCCCAGGGTGTGATGGATAATCTCCTCCCCTCACAGTACCTACTCCTGGAATGATTAACGCAGCTCACTCAGCTCTGGCGTTTAGAACCGAGAAAGCTGACAGACTGACGACATGTCTCTGCAGCCAGCCCCTGTGTTCTCAGAAGCTGCTCCTCACGGGGAAGGGATGTAGTAAGCATCTCCCGTGTGCCAGGTGCTGTGCTAGACACTTCACAAATACTTTATCTCATTTGATTCTCCTAAGAACTTCTCCCAAGGAGAAGAGGATTCATCATCCCCACTTTATGGATGAGAACAGTGGGTCAGGTCAATCACTGCTGGAGCCAGGGTTCAAATCTGGTTCTGTTCAAGTACCAAGCCAGCCTTATTTCCACTGCACCAGTGTCAGGGGGAGAAAAGAAGGCAGGCCCTTACCTACATATAGGTATTTCTGAGTGTGCAATGCACTTCCATATGTACGATCTCTACTCCTCTCCTTAAAGATAGGGCTTACCTTTTAATTCTGTCTATGGGCTTTTTTCCTTCCCAATAAGGTAGACATTTTATGGTCCCTTTTGTGACTAAAATCCTTAGGGAGTAGAATACATCTTGAACAGAAAAGGGCTTAAGAGTGTATCCACCCCATTCCTGGTCATTCTAAACTGAGCCCACCCACACATCACATCCCAACTAGCTCATCACACACACACACACTTTTCTCTAGCAACTCCCAGAACTGGCCTCTTCCTGATTCCTCTTGTGATACTCCATACTACAGTCTCCTGTTGAGGACAACTCAGCCTGCCATGGCTGAGCCTGCTCCTTGGAACTAACTGCTTCTGGCTTATTGGATATAACTGCCTCTGTTCAAGACTCTCTGCTGTAGCCTCGCATTCACCCACACAAGGCCCTCTGCCAGGACCCCAGCTGCACAGCCTCATCCCCACACAGGTTAGGGTGAGGGAAATAATCCAAAAGGCACACACATACATCTCACACTTAATATTTGGCATGATAAACAGGCTCTTCCTTCCCTTATCTAGGCTAAAACAATACTTGGGACTCAGCAAAAGTCTAGAAACAAAAACAAAAATAAAGGAACAGGGTGCACTAGACACCTTCTGTTCTTTGGATGATACTATAATCTTAACTATTTCTCAGCCTTGTTTGTAATGCCAGTCAACAGAACAAGGTGGCAACAGCACAGCCTTGCTCAGCCTTTCCGTGCCAGCTCAAGTCTAGCCCCTGGCTGACCTCACCATCCCTTCCAGCTTACTAGCATTTAGAGGAGAAACTGTAGGATACGCCTGGGCTAACCAGTAAATGTCCAAATGTGACTCTGGAGAAACTAGAGAACTAAACAAACCATACAGTTTTGCGTCTGAATCACAGTATGTCACTTCCCTGGCAGAGCCCCAAGCTCAAAACCCTCCTTCGTGGCTGCTCTCTAGGGCTGGATATCAAGACATCTAGGACCATGTAGCCAAGAAGAAGGTGATGGAGGATGACTTTGACAGTCAACTGAGGCTACCACACCTGGGGCTTTCTTCACTGATGTATTAATAATTTCCCTGTTGCTACAATTGCTCTTTTAGTTAAAAGTAATGAATCTCTTCTTGTTTAAGTAATAAGTGGCAAGATCTGCTACTTTTGCTTTTCATACATCCAAAGAAATTAAAAGAATCCATATTGAGGGGGCTGGCCCAGTGGCGTAAGCGGTTAACCTCGCGTGTTCTGCTTCGGCAGCCCAGGGTTCGCAGGCTCAGATCCCGGGCGCGGGCCTACTCATGGCTCATCAAGCCATGCTGAGGCAGTGTCCCACATAGAAGAGCTACAACTCTACAACTATGATACACAACTATCTACTTGGGCTTTGGGGAGAAAAAAGAACAAGGGGAAGATTGGCAACAGATGTTAGTGCAGGGCCAATCCTCCTCACAAAAAAAAAAAGAAGAAGAAGAAGAACCCATATTGATAGAGCGGGGTGTTAATAGATCAAATAATACCTGGACCAAACTCTCTGCATTTAGTCACAGTGCCAAGGGCCATACATACAGAAATGGAGCAGCAGCAGCCATTAGAATGGCGGATAACTGCAAAAGCAAGAACCAGTACATCCAAGTTTACTCTCACTGACCTTTCACAGAAACCATAAGAACAAGCGCCCTCGGGCATCTGAACAGCAGCATCCTGCTGACACAAATGGGTGGCAAGCTGGTTTGCAATACTCCTCAGGGAAAGTGGGAGGGTGCTGTTCTTGGGGAAGGAGCAAAGTCAATACTCTGAGCCTGGAGACCTGGTTCCATCTCTCACTAACCTAGGCCAATGGTCAACTTCTCAGAGTTATGGTTTACTCATCTGTAAAATGAGAATGGCAATACTTGCGGAGACAGAGTAGCCCGTTGCAATAGAAGGCATATGGGCCTTCAAACAAAGTGGATCTGAATATCGTCACTTACTGAGTAACTTTGAGTTACTTAATTTCCCTGAAGCCATAAAATGGTGGTAATAACCCAGTCTGAGAGAGATCTGTTGTGACAACTGGGTAGCAGCTTATATATAGTGCTTATTACAATACTGGGCACAAAAGGCATGCCCAATAAATACAAAAGATCTATTAACACTTACTGGGTTTTTGCTTACATTTTGCCTACAATATTGCTTACAATGGTATTGAGTACTTTGCATGATTTATCTTGTCATATTTGATTTGTCTATCCCGCAAAAGATTTTTATGACAATGAAACAAACTAATGTATATTTTTATATGCAAATGTGAGTAGCACTGGGAAAGTCCTGAAAGGATACACACCAAAATGGAATGATTATCACATAGAGCTATGATTATGGATGATTTTTGTTTTATTTTTGCCTACCTGCCTTTTCAAACTTTTCTTTTTTACCTGCCTCTACAAACTTCTCCTATTTTTTTTTTTTGGTTTTGTCTTCTTTTTTATGCCAAAATACATTAAAAAATTATATTGTTCATATGTAACAACCTTCTACATGAGCCATTTCTTTTGGAGGTAAGAGCTAACAAAAGCTTTGCCTTCTCTGAGGAGCTGGTGTGTGTTTTTCTTTTTAATTATGAGAGTTAGCTAACTGACTTATCCCCCTCTTCACTTAAGGGAGCTCAGAGTCAAATTTTTAGTTCAATCATTCACTTAGGCCTTTACTCTTTTCATATTTCTCTTCAATGTCTCCACCTACCCCAGTCTTGACTTTCTATTCTAATTTATATTTGTCTTATCCTGACTTTGTATTTCTTATTTATATTTTACTACTTTTTTTCAGTGTTTGTCATAAGCTACCACAAACCTTTTACAGAATGAGGCCAGGTACATACACACACACATATAAATTACTGATTTATTTGTAGCCCACGCACTTCATTTCACATTTTATGCATTGCACAGAGTTCTTGGTTACAACATTAATGATAGAATTATAGTATTCTTTAAACTCTATTTCTGAGATTTTAAAAAAATGCAAAACCACAAAATCTCCCTTTAACAACATAATTTTAAAACTCCTAGAATTGGTTCACTTTTATTAAATGCTCAATTCTCAAAATTATATATACATGTATATAATTTTGAAATATATATAATATATAATATATATTTAGATTTATATATATAAAGTTTTTTTAATTTTAAAAACTCCACACTCATCCCTACCTTTCCCTACCCACTCCTACTGAATTTTGATATATCCAAGCAGTAGCAAGCCCAACAAAGTCACTCGTAAGGAAAGAGGTTAGAGACACTAACAAAAGCACTTTCTCAAAGCCCTGGGATAGAATTTCAAGAGGTCCTCAACCAGAACCTAATGCTGCAGCCACTCAGCCCACAGTAACTCTATGCCACCATTCTCAAATGAGGGGCCTCCCTCAGGCTGGGGAAATAGGAAGCCCGCAATTTCCTGCTGCTGGAAAAGATGCCGAGGCAGTCAATTTACAAATACTTTAGGTGCCCACCAACTCCAAGAGAACAGAGCAAACTAATTACACAAAGGAAGGCCTCTGCCAGCGCCTCCTCTCCCCATGTCAGGTCCTCCTATCAGGAATCATTAGGAAGCCCAAACAGCTTCACAGTTCCTGCTTCCCGACTGCTGTCATATCTGCCGTCTTGATCATCAAAGACAAACACCAGCAGAGGCCTTTTGGGGTGCCAAGCCATGCTAAGCTCAAGGACTCACACTACACCTCTCCAGCTTATCTCCTACAGAAATTGATATAGAGAAACCAATAAGTGATGTTAATAATAAGAATGTAAATTCATTAAGTATTTGCCTATATTAACTCATTTAATATGCTTAATAACCCTATAGGATAGGTACAATAATTACTTCATTTTACAGAGAACATTGAGGCACAAAGAGGTCACAAGCCAGTAGGTGGCAGAGGAGGATCTGAACGCAGGCAGGTTAACTTAAGAGCCTATGCTCTGAGCCCCTATTCTATACTCCCTGGAAAAACAGTAACAGCAGTTACCATTTGTTGAGAATCCCTTATGAATCAGGTGGATTATACATTATTGAGTGCCAGTGACAACCCAGCAAGGCAGGTTTTTAAAAAAATTTTAATTGCAAACAAATTTGCTTTTTTCCATGTACTGTTCTTTGAGATTTTAAACATGCATGCATTATTGTAACCACCACCACAGACAGGACATAGAACAATTCCAACAGGGAAAAGAATTCCCTTGTGGCTGACCCTTTGTATTCAAACCCCCAACCCTAACTCCTGGCAACCACTGATCTGGTCTCTGTTCCTGTATTTTTTCCTTTTCCAGATTGTCATATAAATGGAATATGTATTATGTAACCTTTTGAGACAGGGTTCTTTCACTTAACATACTCATCTGAAATTCATCTATGTTGTTGTGTGCATCAGTTCATTCCTCTTTATTGCTGAGTAGTATTCCACTGTGTGGAAGTGCCACAATTTGTTTATCCATCCACCTATCAACAGACATTTGGGTGGTTTCCAGTTTTTGATGATTAAAAGTTATATTGCTATAAACACACATAGAAACACACACATACACAGATCTTTGTGTAAACATAAGTTTTCATTACTCTAGGATAAATCCCTAGAAGTGGAATTGCTAGGTCATCTGGTAAATGCATGTTTAGCTTGTTTAAGAAGCTGACAAGCTATTTTTCAAAGTGGCAGTACCCTTTTGCATTCCCACCAGAAATATATGAGAGTTTCAGTTACTCTGCAAGCTCATTGGCACTTGGTATTGTATTTTTTAATTCAGCCATTCTAATGGATATGGAATGATATTTCATTGTGGTTTTAATTATTACTAATGATGTAGAGCATCTTTTCAGTTGCTTATTTGCCATCCTTATAGCCTCTGTGTTGAAAAGTCTGTTCAAATCTTTAGCCCATTTAAAAAATTTGTTTGGTTAAATTTTGTTGAGTCTTGAGAGTTCTTTATATATTTTAAATACTAATACTTTCTCTTATGTGTGATTTGTAAATATTTTCTCCCCATATGGTGCTGGCTTTCAATTCTCTTAACAGTGTTCTTTGTAAAGCAAAAGTTTTTCATTTTCATTAGGTCCAATATATCAACATTTTCTTCATGGATCAAGCTTGTGTTGTCATACCTAGGAAATATTTGCCAAACCCAACAGGAAAAAGATTTTCTCCTATGTTTCCTTCTAAGAGCTTTATGGTTTTATGTTTTACACTTAGGTCTACCATCCAATTGGAGTTAATTTTTGTATGCAACATGAGGTGTAGGTTGAGGTTCACTTTTTTGCATGTGGATATTCCAGCACCATTTGTTAAAAAGACTGTCGTTTGTCCACTGAATTGCTACTGCGCTTTTGTCAAAAATCAGTTGACCCTCTTTATGAGGGTCTACTTCTAGATTTTATATAGTGTATATATGTATTTCTAGATTTTATAGTGTATATGTCTGCATGTACATTTGTCTATATGTCTATCCTTTCGCCAATATCACACAGTCTTGACAGCTGTTATCTTTGCAGTATGTCTTAAAATCAGGCAGTGAAAGTCCTTCAATTCTTTTCTTTTTCAAAATTGTTTTGGCTTTCTAGTTCCTTTCCACATAAATTTTAGAATCAGCTATATCAACAAAGAAGCTGCCTTAGTCCAGACAAGTTGCTACAACTGACTATCACAGACTGGGTGGCTTATAAACAACAGAAATTTCTCTCGATTCTGAAGTCTGGGAAGTCCAAGATCAAGGCACCTTCATATTTGGTGTCTGGTGAGAGCCTGCTTCCTATTTCATAGATGGCTGTCTTCTTGCTGTGTCCTCATATGGCAGAAGAGGTGAGGGAGCTCTCTGGGGCCTATTTTGTTGTTGTTAGTGCTGCTGAGTCCATTACAACTCCTAACAACCCTGTGTGCAGCAGAGCAGAACCCTGCCTGGTCTTTTTGTGCCATCCTCTCACCTTCTGGCGCTATATCAGAGAATGCTCTGCTGCTATTCCTAGGGTTTTCATGGCCAATTTTTTTAAAGTCGGTGGCCAGTTCCTTATTCCTAGTCTGTCTTAGGTGACCCTGGTGGGATCTGAAATATCAGTGGCATAGCTTTCAGCATCATAGCAACATGCAGCAACATGTAGCCAACACAGTATGACAACCAACAGACAGGTGCTGTGGTTCCTTGAGTGGGAAGCAAACATGGGCCTTGGCACTCTCCGAATCTTAACCACTAGACCACCTGGGCTGGCTGCAGGGTCTCTTTTAAAAGGGCACTAATCCCATTCATAAAGGCTCCACACTAATGACCTAATCACTTCCCAAAGGCCACACTTCCAAATACTATCACATTGGGGATTAGGTTTCAACACATGAATTTTGGGGGGACATAAACATTCAGTCTCTAGAAGTAGCTTTCTGGGATTTTGATTGGGATTGCATTAAATCTTTAGGTCAATTTAGGGAGAATTAACAATATTGAGTCTTCCAATCCATGAACACAATATGTCTCTATATTTATTTAGGTCTTAATTAGTGTTTTGGTAAGGCATTAATTTTAACCTCATTACATAAATAAATAGGTTACTTAACTAAGGTCACACCTTGTAGTGGAGCCAGCATTCTGAAATAAGTTCCATCTGCCTCCAAAACCATAATTCCTTCCACTAAACCACACTGCCTCGCAAATAGAATTTTTTTACCAAAATTTTATTTCATTAGCTCACTGAAATAATATATGATTTCCTCCTAAGCTATTATTCCTTTAGCTGTCTTTTTATCAATATTAGGATTATGATTAAGATTAAAGTAGAAAAATACTTATAGTATGCTAAGTAAAAAAACGCAGGATACAAAATTATATCTACTCTATGATTCCAATTACATCAAAAAATACATATATAGAGGGCCGGCCCGGTGGCGCAAGCGGTTAAGTGCGCGCACTCCGCTGCGGCGGCCCGGGGTTTGCTGGTTCGGATCCCGGGCGTGCACCGACGCACTGCTTGGTAAGCCATGCTGTGGCGGCGTCCCATATAAAGTGGAGGAAGATAGGCACAGATGTTAGCCCAGGGCCATCTTCCTCAGCAAAAAAAAAAA